CCCACTCTTGACCCGAGAATGTCAGCTCGGAGTCGAGTTTCTCTGAAAATCACTGCCAGTGCTAACCTCTTCCTTGCTCTAGAACTCAATACTGATAGCAAAATGTCTAAACAAATTTTGGAACCGCTTCTCTGATCAAGCAGTGGAATGATAACTTACCTGTTTCACAGTGTTTCCCGTCGTACTCGCTCAAAGTACAATCACATTTTGGTCCGTCGTTGGTGCTGTAACAACGTCCACCGTTGTGGCAGACGAACTGCTCGCGAGACGAGAACTAAAGGAAGTGAGTCAAATTGTGACTCGAAGGAGAGCCCAAGATCACTCTTAGTTATCTAAGCTGTTCGTGAATAAGGTGTAGTAGAGTGCAACGAACGAAAATCCTAGATAAGTTTCATGCCTGAAAATGGTTAGGTAACGGTTGTAAAGCAAAATGTTGCTCAAGCGACCCGCCTGCGTTGATAGATGTGTTATCTGCTGTCTTGCTTGTTTGTGTGCTCTCTCACTGCTTTATCTGGCCTCTCGCCCGAAATCCACATCGGTTCTTTCTCTCACTGGCCACAAGCAGGACTTTATTTGGAACGTTTTCGACGGACTCCCTCTCCCCTTTCGTCACGGGAAAGCCAAGTAGCACGTACAATTTTGGTTTCTATCCAAGCTCCTTAGTAACTGTTCGCTCTTTCATTGCGAAGTCTATGTTCGAGAAAAAACAGAATTACCGCAATTCGTACAACAGAAACGAAGGACGTGGCGCAACTCGGCGAAGGGGGCATTTTGCACTTTCACTGCTTCACTAGTTCCGGTTTACAAGTTTCACTCTGGTGAAACCTGTGAACTCTTGTGAAGCTGGAGCAAGCTCGTCGAGCTACCATGGTAAAACCTGTCAGCTGCCAGAAAAGGCTCTCTAAGCGCGCGGACACGTCGATGAGAAGGAGCAAAAGTGTACCGTGCCCCACCCTCCCGAACTGCTCCGTAGGATAGATTCTGTAGCTCAATCTGAATATTTCTTTTTGTCACCGCAGCATTGCTGTGGAATGGTCAGAAGTTGGTGTCGGAGAAGAGTCGACTCCGTACTCGCGCTTTAGTAGACCTCGTTCACTTACTGATTAATAAAGAACCCGTTAACAGTCTTGTTCGCTGCGGATGATGGATGTGTTATAGGGAGATAGGTTCGGCGTCACCCTGTTTCTTCCATTTTTCTTTCTACAAGCGAGAAGACTGTATCATATCGTTCGTGTCAGTAGTTTGACAACAGATGTTGTCACCTATCCGCTTCAACTACTAGGAGAGAACGGGCTGGTGGCGCTCCAGAAGAGCCTCACTGACACGCCTCATAACCCACGGTGAACAAGACTCCTTTTAATTCACAACAGATATCTGTTTCCTGTACATGATGTATTGATCCAAACTGCAATGTCATAAGAACACGCTCACCCCCGTCGGCCTGCAATAGTCGTCCTCGTTCTGTCGAGCTCCGTGAACGTCCAAAAGCTGCGGCGATGTCACTCCTTAAAGTTCGTGGATGAGATCAGAAGTCAATTTGTGCAATCTTTGGGGTCCGATGTTGTTATTTATTAGGCTTGTTCATATCACAAACATTAATGCAAACCTTGGGGATATAACCGATAGACGAGGTTTCGGATGTTCCCAGCAAGATGCCTTGCATAGCGACGTAGTGGTGAGCTCATCACCGGCAAGAGGTGCGTGTCCTGAAATAAACGTATGTTAAGGGAGAGACGACCAATATCTCAATTTTATAGTCCGGAAAGATTGAAGTTTCCTTAATTTTCGAAACTAGCGAGGCGCTGAAGAAAGAGCGAAAATGATAAAGTGAGCAGAGTGGGCAACCAGCTGCAACATACACCACGTACTCGACTTTCACTCTCACTTGCCAAGTTGTTTGAAAGCAATCCGCCCTGTGCAGGATGTGACAAGCAGTCACGACGCAACGAAATTATCTCATCCCCACATATGAGCTGAACTACAGGCATGGCGTACGATCGCTTGAAGGTAGGTGGACGTCACTTATTGCATGAGATTTGCCAGGGGTATGACTCATATGGCACACATATCGCGATAACATGAGAAGATAGTGAGATGGGGATCCTTAACCTTCCGCCGTGATTTCCGCCCTTTCAATCGCCATTACATGGTGCGCTTGATACTC